GCTGCCCTGCTGAGTCTGGGGGGGAAAACTTGCGGGGCTGCCGGAGCAGCAGCGAGCAGGCGGCTTTGTCTACAAGGGTTTGCAAAAGCACCACCTAATCCTGCCGCTCCCCTCCCATGCTGAAGGGAAGAAGGGATCCCGGGAGCCAGACAGAAGGGGGAACTGCTGGGGACTGCAACATCGCGGCGTCCGGGGGTGTGCCGAAGTTCCCTGCGGAGCACCCTGGGCTGGTGCTGGGTGTGGGCGCCCGCAGGCCGGGGGGGTCCGGGCGGCCCCTGCCCTCGCTGCCCCGCACGCTCGGGGATTACTGGGCGTTTCGAGCCAACAGCAAAACTAGCAGATTTCAAAGTGAAATTCCGGAGGAAATTTAAAGAGCATCCGGATCCGGAGAAAGACAGAGAAAGAAAGAGGAAGGGAGAAATAAATCAAAACGTGGAGAGAATCTAAGGCAGCCGAAAGAAAGGACGGGAGAGAAAGAAGCTGACACCCAGGCAGAGATGGGGTGAGACTGGCAGTTTATTATTCTTGCATTGCTTTTATTATTCATGGCAGCTGTGCTATTTTTAAGGTAACTGCTAAAGAAATGAAGGTTTTAAAAATGCATTTTATCCCTATTGCGAGCTTTAAAGTTTAGACTTAGCTTTTTTTTTTTAGGGCTTTGAAAGTAGGTAATTGCAACTCTCTGCAACTCCTTTAAATAAACTTGTGTGTAAGGAAAGCCTCCAGTGATATCCATATGTTGTATTAAATCTAAACTGGAGGGGATGGGGGGATTGGAGCTGGGCTGCGTTTGCAAACTTTCCCAGAAGTTAGAAATTACAGATTTTGTTTGGCTGCTGTGACTTTGGCATACAGTTAAATGGATCCTGTTTGCATTTCTAAATGGATAAATGGCTGATTGAAAATCCTTGGTGATTACGTTTATGATCCCCTCAGATTTTCCAAGGGTGAAATATGCTGTATGGATGTGGCAGTGGATTTTGGAATGGAAATAGGAGCTTAGCCTGGTATTTAATTTATGCCTAGTAGTTATAAGCCTCAGTCATGTAAT